AGCAGGAATCGTTGCTGTTGAAAATGCATGAAGCTGCTTTGTTGTATTGCCCTGCAGAACAGTATTGAACTTAGCTGTAAACCACTCTGAAACAATTGCCACATTTTTTTGTGGGTAAATGGGCTATATTTAGCCATGCGTGTAAAATAAGAGAAAAAGAATTGTAATTATTTCTGTTCTGCCTGCTGAATGCACTTAAAAAATTGTGGACTCAATATCCACTCTGTGCTTATGGATTAACTGCAGTGGTATCTTAGTCTGCATTAGGGAAGGAAGCTCCATTGTCTTGTATGCTGTTCATGTATTTATGTCTGCTGTGCTAGTAGATGAGTATGGTAGTATTTAACACCCATCTAGCACAAGGTTCAAGGCAGCAGGCGCTCTAAGAGTTATTTCTGATCTGTTCTAGGCATTGTTTTCTTTTGCTTGTAAAGTTGTGATGGTGAAATTTCAAGCCAGTTTTGATCTCATTCCACTCCAAGCAGATGCAGGAAAAATTGCTGTACAGTTTTGTACTAAGGAGAATCTTCCTTGATTTTTCTATGCATTTAATTGTGACGCCCGGTATCTCTGCGTGGAGTCTGGGGTAGCACTTTTTTTTTAAATGCTCATGCTAACAGCCACAGTCCTTTCAGGCTCTGCCAGAAACCTGAACTTCTGTAATAATGATAATCATTATACTCCTTGGTGTTCTGAGTTGTCAGCTGAAGTACTTAGATGCTAATTTATGCACACATATGATAAGAGTTTATTATAAGCGTATAGCTTATTTTTTATGTTGGGCTTGCTTTAAAGGTAAAAGTGGGAGAGGAAGAGGGAGAGGCAGAGGTTGAACCAAAGAATGGGGCAAACCTACACAGACATTAGAAATTTTCCCTTTCATCTCACCTCTGTTAACTGTTCACTTGGTCCGCAGGCCTTGATTCATACACCACCACACGTGTTGATGCTTCTGACAATACTTTTTTTGTCGTATGTGTACATTAGTGCTGGCTAGAAAACTGTGATCTAGCTCTTTATCTCACATTCTTGACTTAAGCTACTAATTTTTAAAATTTAAGTCATAGCCTTTAGCTAGCTGTTTCAATCAGCCTGACATTGCTTTGCTAAAAAAAAAACCAAACCAAACCCACCCTCTAAATCTGGCAGTATCAGATAATTGGGAAATTTTATCTTAATTCAGATTAGGAATCATCTCTTAAAGACATTTCAAAGTGATTTTTTTAGTATGGCAGCATATAACACACAGAAGGAGACAGGGCACATAAAGACCTTGGGTAGCATGAGATGGATTTGAGACTTGCTGCAAGGCGAGGAGCTGTGTGAACTGGAAGGTTAGCTGCTAAGATTAAGATTGCGTTCAGCTTCTTTCACATGTATGTCCCAGACTCAGAGGGCTTGTATTCTGCAGGCATCCCATGATTACAAAATGTAGGCATCTTTTCAAATTTATTTGGGGCAGATTTACCTGAACTCTGCTTACTACAGGGCTGCTGGAGAGATCTGGAAAACATAGAATCCATAGAATCTGGCGAAGAGAGAACTTGATATTCTGAAATGGAGAACCACGCAGTAGGCTTTTACATTGATATTTATATGTACTAGCAAAATGTAGTGATCTTTTTTTCCCCTCTTTTGCTTCTCAAATCCATAATGGCAATCTGTTATCCTTTTGCCTCCTGCTGCATTTAGAAGTTCTTTCATTTTGCAGATATACACGTGAATTTGAAACGTTTGTTCTGAAATATTGAGGGATGCCATGTAAAGGAACTGAGTTGCTTTAACCGTAACAAGTGAACGGCATATATATTCTGACCTAGTCATGGAAGACAAATCTTAATTATTCTTCCCTATATTCCACTGATAACTGGATTTTTCCAGTTGCTGATCAATGGGGAATAAAGCTGGATTACTAGAAAGGCAGGCACGCTGTGCTCCAGCTGAGTGCAGGCTTCTCCTCTGGCTCGGAGGATGTTTCATTTGTGCTCAGCTGTGAAAAACTGTTGTCAAAGCAAGTTTTGTGCAACTGTTGATGCGGGGTTCAGGCTATCATTTCGAATACAGCTTTTTAGATTTGCTAGTCTGTGTTCGGAGGATAGAGATGCGGTGTTGTCTCCTCCCTCTCTCCCTCCCTTGACAGTTCCTGGAAAATGTGAAAATTCATCTGTTTTCCTGCATTTTAGTTCGTCTTTGAGAGGAAGGAAAAGTCACATCAGATACTGGAAAAATCTGTTTCAAATCTGTTCTGTGCCTGGAAACTGAGACAGAATAATCAGACAAGCCTGTTACCATTTCTTATTTTTTTTTCTCCTTCCCTTCCAATCATGTCTCATTCTGCTACTATAAATCTTCACATTACCCCAAAGGAAGAGAATTTGTGGGGGTTTTGTATGTATTTATGGCCTCCTTACCCCAATTAGTTCTGTCACAGAAGTGGAACACTGGCCATTAACCCAGAAGATGCTCCAACCCTAAAATGAGATAAGTTGGCATGTTCAATTTATGTGCATTTTTGTAAGTATTTCCAGAGGGAAAAAATTCTCATTTGCTGATAAAGCTACTGGTTTTAATTTAAAAAGAGGGATCAAACCAAGAATAACAGCTGTGATTCTGGAGGTTTCAGCCTGTCAGGGGTTTCTAAGAAGTAATTGCCAGAAGACTGGGAAAACTGGCTATAAGTCATCTATCTATTTAGAAAATGTAAATTGCCAACTCAGTGTAACTACAGAAAAGAAATACCAGTCCATATTCATTACATGTTATTACTCATGGTACAACTGAAAGCTTTCTAAAGACCTAAGAGAATTCAAATAGTGCCTCCTAACTTACAGTTTAGTAGAATTTGTATGTAGAAAATAACTTACAATACACAGGAGCATTCATGTGTATTTGCAATTGGAGTGTGCGGTGGTGCATATCAACAGCCTCTAAGGAGCAGAAAATTTGAATTTAGCCTGATGGTTCTGAGAGTATTAAATGGCATTAGCTGGAGGGCAGTTGAAAAGAGAGTGTCAGCCCCTAAAAGAGAAAAGAGCAAGAGTGGGACACGAATCGTGCTCGGAGCTCTGCTCATTTTCAGAGGTGGAGAACATAACTGACATTTTCACACCTTAAATAGGAGAATCTTTGATGTACCTTGAAGGACCAAAATGGCTGAAGATTTTCTAGTTGGTCTACAGATAACAATCCACAAAAACACTTCCCTCCTTTCTCTTCCTTATGACTTTGCCCTATGAACCTGGCTTGTTTGGTGGGAAAAAAATTGATAGTTTATACTTTATGCAGTCAGAAAGATTCCAGTGGAAACATTTTCTCCTTTGGAAATTTGAGGTTGAGGCTACTTACTGAACAGGACAGAAAATACTAACAGTGGTGGATATATGAACTTTTAAATCTTAAAACTCCCTTTGTGAAGTATACCTAAACATAACTTATACTGATATATCTGTAAAAGCCTAAGGAGAGACAGTCTGGTTTTACTGCAGCTTCGGGTGCTGAATATGTATAAGTGGATATGTGTAAGTTTTATTTACATTCAAATGTTGTTATTTTAAAATACGTGTGTTTTTTAAATTATATTTGAAATTGTTCATCCATGCTAAGGACTGAATTACTATAGTATGCTATAGATGTTTGAATACAAATATTCTAGCAATGTCTGGTTTCTAATGAAGCTTTAAAAGCATTCAAACCACCAGAGAACTGCAGTTAACTGGAGCCAGAATTTGTTTAAACCACGTTTTGACAGAAACAATTGTTCAGGGAGAATATTTTTCTCTGTTTTATTTTGCTCTGCTGTTCAGCTCTACACATAGCTTGTTTCATTTGTTTGAAAGACAAAAATAGTGGAAATGAAACAGTATTCTGAGAGACTTTGTGTGCATAGAAATTTATGGTAGTTCATTTCATGAATAATGAGGCAATAGGCTCATTTATGGATTTCAAATTCTGCTCTCCATAAAAATTCCACGAAAAATGTCACAAGCCATAAGTAGAAAATAATCTAATAAAGCAATCATTTACATTATTTTTAGCTATTAAAATATATGGGCAAATTCCACCCGTATCTAACAGGATGAAAAGTAAAACTGAAGACCCAAGACTTTAAGCATATATTTTTGTTTAGATAACTACAGACGGATTAATTTTTTTGAGGGAAGAAAATGTTTACTATAAAAGCTAATTTGATATAAATCAATGCATTTTAATGGTTAACGGAATCAACTTTATGGGAATAACTTAAAAGTTCAAACGTAAAAGATTAAAATTGATTATTAAATAATGACTGAAATCTGCAATTTGCATCATTGTGATGAAAATCAATTCATCCTGAATGAGGCTGGGAATAAAGCTCTTCCCTTCTGACAGGAACAGCAGCATTGTTCAGCAATATCCTGCACATTTGTCAAGTTGTAGCTTGTTCAGGTCTCAAGAACAGAAGCACAAAGCTGGCCTCCCAGTTGCTTTTAATGAATACTAGTGGGTTTTTCCTATGTCCAAGAATTTGATCTGTAGGGTGATCCAGAGGTCAAGAACAAACGGCTCACTATTGCTCACCTCTGCGAAGCCACGGCTTTCATTTGCTTTTTTTAGTAACTCTAGAGGAAGTGCCTTAACTCTTTTTCAGAAGCAAAATTTTAATTGGCATAGATAATGCAGCCTTAAGAAGGTACAGACAGGTTCAGTCATCTCCTTTAAAAAATTATGTTTTCTGCAATTTTTTTTCTTCTCTTTTTAGCCCAGTGGAAAATTGTGGGTTTCATCGAATGGTTTTGCATAAGTTTGAACTTATTTCTATAATTACATTTCCTTAGCCTCTTCATTTGCAATCATATTTTAATCCAAGTATCTCTAAGTTAGTACATCTCCCTTCTTCTGATCAGTGTTTTCAGACTTCATGTTTATCCTGTCAGAAAAGCATCAAATGTGGTTTTTTTCCTTTTCAAT